GCAGTTCACATGAGATGGCAAAGTTGGTTTTAAGTATATCCATAGAATTTTAAGTATATTTATTGTGATACTGTAAATAAAGTATAATTTTCCCAGTGCCATTTTGAAATCCCACTTCCAATGGTCGTCTATGAAGTGATTGTAAAAAGAGCTTATTATCCAAAAACTGCTGCATTTATTCGATACAGGAATAGTGTTACAGCTTACTGACCATCGTCCAGTGTCCATAGTTAGCTAATGCACTTGATAAGTGCCACTAGAAGATATAAAAGCTAAGATACTACTGTTTCCCATTCCACTCTTAGTGTATAAGAGACTCCAAAATGGTGGGAGGAAAATTTTACTTTATTCACGGTATCAAAATGAATATACTCAAAATTCTATAAATATACATAGCAGCAACTGGTCTATAATTTAATGGTGACACAATTAAAGGGCAAAAAAGCTAAACTGTTATAGATTCAATAGTACATGCAGAATCGTTTCAAATTTTCTATTGTTCAAAAAAGTTTTAACAAAAAAAATTGATTCCGTAACATAAAAACGGTGTAGTTAGAGCTTACCATAATTAGATACAGAGTCTGAAGTAGCACAACATCAAACATCTGTAAATTCCAAATCTTGTATATGAACCATGTGACGGAGTTTCCGTACAAATAAAATACATGTGACTAGAAACTCAGTGAATCAGTAAAGTAAGCATTTCATCATAGCTATGAGAGTACGAAAATGCATATAGTACTTGAGTCGAGCGAAACAATTAAATGTATCAAAAAATAACTGTAAACTGTAGAGTCTATGATAGGGGAAATTGGAAGAGAAAGACAGAAACGAGAAAAGAAAGACAAAACCATAATGTAATTGTTATCACTACAGCAAGAGAAAAAAAAGTTCATTAGAAAAATGTTTTTATGTAGAAATCTAGACATGGTTTTGCATTTCATCATAATAATAAAGACTCAGAAACACCAAAAAGGGAAAGGATTCAATATTATGCAATATTTGAAATGTAAATGTAAAAGCACAATAATAGAAAGTTTTGAAATGCGGAGTGATCTATACAGCAAAATAAATAATAAAGAACAGAATCATTAATAATAATTATAAATATGAAAAAAGTATACCATATATTGTCACAAGCCTAATTGCATACAATAATGACTTATTAAACAAGACTCGAATATACATTTAGCAAACAATATTTTACTTTTGTCCTTTTTATGATGTGCTCCTTCGCCATATTGTTCATATTTGTTTCTGTATAATTAATTATTTTAATTTGATTTGTACTAAAATCAGTATAATGATATTTTGGTGGGAATTAAAGTAGGCAAATTTGGCATTTTGATAGCCTTTTGCCAGCCATTATACTCATGGTCAATGGCTTGTGGCCAATAATACACCAAATTAAAATTTGCCAATCACCAAAATCTAGCAATTCACCAAATTTAACTCCCTCAAAAATTTCCTGCTATTCCATAACCTGCTATTATGGTATTTGATAAAAGAAACATATCGAAAGTTTCTTTTCTCTACAGTACTTAGACAAAAATATCCTCTGGTTACTGAGGAACTTCTATATTAGCCAAACAAAAATAAAGAAATGACTGTGTATGCGAGCCTAAAGTGTCAACTTCACTATGACAGCACATGTCTCATGTATTCACCATGTCAAAGAATGTGCTAAAAGAACATTCAACATGTCGTGACAGTGCTACCTGCCTTGCATTGAAAAAATGAAGCCTAAGCCTGATTTGTGTGCCACGGAGGTAACTGAGGTAAATTAGTACCATAGTAACACAAGTATTCTACTTATTATTTTCAGGAAATGCGAAAGGCACTACATGACTGAAGTCTTGTTGAAAAGAAAAGGAAGTACTATAAGGATATATTAAAAGAGGCATAATTATTGTTAAAAGGGCTGTATACTGATGCAGCAGATAATTACAATCCATCATTAACAAGGCCACTTGCCATGTTAAATATTGTAGCACAATAAAGCATTGAGTATGCTCAAGTGGTAACATCTGATGATATTGAAGTGTATATACCTTGCTTACTTTTTCAATGGGTTCACCATCCTTCAAGTCCACTACAAGCAGGTCAAATTTTTTTCTTACTCCCAGCAAGAGCAGATAGTCACCTACTCTTGCTCCCAGGAAATGTGGGATATTTGGGGTGTGCTGTGCAGCTAACCCTCAAATGGTTCATTTCTTGATCGATGAATCATTCAACACTGGTAAAGAGCCAGATCCTGTCATAAGCATGGTACACTTTTATTTCAAGAATCATGGCCTCAACTCAGTCAATATCCATTTCAATGCTGACAACTGCACAGGGCAACATAAAGTAAAAGTTATTGAAATAAGTATAATGCATGCACAACAATGTAACATTTAAAATGTAATTGTTTATTTACTTTAGTACCTCTTATGGAAAGTAATCACAGGACTTAATGCGTCCATTTCAATATCCTTTCTGCCAGTTAGGCACAAAATTTTCTCCAGATTGGTACTTTGGCCTTTTAAAGCAAACATTCCTTAAAGTAGAGGTGCACTCATTGGAGGACTTTGTTTAAGTTGTAGAACAATCATCTGCTGTTAACAAAGCCCAACCAGTAGGAAGTGGCAAAGGTGAACTCAATGTAGAAACATTTGACTGGTCAAGTGACTTTGCTACATTATTCAAGAAAGTAAAAGGCATCAAAGTCCTTCAACACTTTTTGTAAATGCAACCTCACCTGATTTAGTTGCAGCCCATTCAATTTGCTGAAAGTAGACGCTCAAATAATGGAAGATGATCTACCTAATGTATTACCACCAAAGGGTATGTCAAGTAAAAGGAAATGGTACCTTCATTAAAGAATAGTTTATACAAATTGAAAGATAAAACCTGCCCACTTCCTGATGCATCTCAACCAATGAGATTATCCCAACAATTAGCACTAGATGTAGATGATCCACCAGACCTCACAATGGATATCAAAGTACCACATTCTCCAAGGCAATCTTTAGAACCACCTGCAACACAAAGAAAATGTGGTAATTGTGGTCGATTCAGTCGTAATAGAACTTGTCCATGCAATCGGTAAATGAATAACAGAAAAGAGTTTGTGTAATGCACATGCTTTACTTCGCTTTCAACGTGAGAGGAACTAGCTTGTCGACAACAAACTGACTAGTGATCCCCTGAAGCAGGAGTGGAACTAGTTTGAACACCCAAAAACTTGAACTATTGATCCCCTGAATAAGGAATGGAACTTCAAGCTATTGATCCCTTAAAGGAGAGGAACTCGTTTGTAAAACCAGCACATACCAACTATGGATCCCTTTTTCAAAACAAAGGTGTGGAACTAGTTTGTGCGTGAGACGTCCACATAAACACAAACACTCATTTTTGTTAAAATATTTTATTGTCTATAAAGTAACTAAATTACTGCAAACTTTGATGACATTTTACACCAGTAGAACATTGGATGCAACATCCAATAACTAAGTTTAGAGAAAATGAAGTGTTATTGAAGGTACATGCATCTCACATTGATTACAAGATATATAGTAGTGTTGGAAGTACTTATAACTTCTAAGAATTTAATCTAGATTTACCATGCAATGTTATGCAAAGCAAAATCATTATTATAACAAAGGGTTAAGGAAAGAGCAAAAGCATCATTCATTTAGCTTTTTGATTCAATACTAGTTACCTGAGAAACACAGTGAAGCAACAATTGGAACCAAATCTGGCCAAAGTAAACCACTGACGATAAGTACCAACTCCTAGCTGCAATCTCCCTAAAAGAGCCTTTGACTAACAGAATGTGACATTTCAGGAGTTCTTAACGCTCTTCTCCCATAGTATATTTAGACCAGCAAACCATACCAGCCAAGTTTAAATTAATTTAATATAGCAGTCCACTGGTAAATTGGGATATATGTGGTATTGACTCTATTAAGGAACTTTGGATGAAATTTTAAAATTTTTTTAATTAATGCCATTTTAAAGGAAATAAAAAGTTGTACAACTTGTGCTTGTTTTAAACTTTTACAATGAACTGTTTAGAAGTTATAAATCATTGAACTTTAAATATTAAAAAAATTGCTGCATAACTTTTCATACTTTATGAACTTACTTGTTGTAATTACTAAGCAAATTTATTCCCTTTTTTCATTGTAGATTCAGTTGCAGTTGAAGCTGATATTCTCATTTGCCTTGTGTTCAGTGGCATTTGTCAGACATGGATTTAAACATATAAATAACCTGCAAATTTATCATTTTATTGATCGTGTGTCATAACACTACTTTTTTCTATTACCTGATGGAGTTTCTTTTCGTTCATTTTGTAGTGATTTTTAAAATGCCATTTCAAGAAAGTCAAAGCATTAATGTTCAGCAATGAATATAGTTATTGCGCTAATGAATATACTTACGTTAACTATGAATATCATTAATCTTATGAATATAGTCTAATCTGACGTCAATTCTCTTTTGTAGTGTACTAATGTATCTTTCTGACCCTCCCTTTGAATACGAGTAACTAATAATAATAATAATGATAATAATAATAATAATAACAACAACAATTTAATTACTTGGTGCACTTCTCTTTCATACTGTACAATCTTTCTGACTCTCTCTTTCTGTACGAATAACTAATAATAAAAATAATAACAACAATAAAAATAATAACAACAACAATTTAAATACCTGGTTCACTTCTTTTTTGTACTGTACAATCTTTCTGACTCTCTCTTTGTGTACGAGTAACTAATAATAAAAATAATAATAACAATATTAATAACAACAACAACAACTTAATTACCCTGTGCATTTTGTACTGTACTATCTTTCTGACCCTCTCTTTCTTTACTAGTAACTAATAACAATAATAACAATAATTTAATTACCTGATACACTTCTCTTTCATACTGTACAATCTTTCCGACTCTCTTTGTGTACGAGTAACTAATAATAAAAATAACAATAACAATAATAATAACAACAACAACTTAATTACCTGGTGCACTCCTCTTTTCTACTGTGCTATCTTTCTGACCCTCTCTTTGTTTACTAGTAACTAATAACAAGACTGGATAATTATTTAGGGAAAGGGTCTAACCTGCCTATATTCTGTGACACCACAGCGCGTATGTTTACATCCGTTTTTTGCAAACATACGGAGATAATCCCAGTAATTTTCAAAATTATGGGTGTGGTTAATAAAATGGTGCCTGAAGCATGCAGGCAACTTTAAAACTTGTATCTCCACTGTGAGGATCATGTAGTGCGAGAAATAAGGAGGAGCACACAGGAATATGTTCTTCTAATGGTTGGCTATTTCATATTTGCAGCTTTCAGACTTGGAATGAATAATTATAATGACGCAAGAATGCCTACTTGGTGCTAATCACCATGCTATCATTGCTATGTAAACATACACGCTGTTGTATGACAGATTATAGGCATGTTAGATACTCTCCCTAAATAATTATCCACTCTTGCTAATAACAATAACAATAATAATAATAATAATAACAATAATTTAATTACCTGCTGCACTTCTCTTTCATACTGTAAAATCTTTCTGACTCTCTCATTGTGTACGAGTAACTAATAATAATATTAACAATAACAATAACAATAACAACAACAACTTAATTAGCTGGTGCACTCCTCTTTTGTACTTTACCATCTTTCTGACCCTCTCTCTGTGTACAAGTAAGTAATAACAATAATAATAATAATAACAACAACAATAACTTACTTATCTGGTGCACTACTGTACAATCTTTCTGACACTATCTATGTGTATGAATAACTAATAGTAATAGTACCGTATTTCTTGTGGAAACGCCTAGGCATTTATTTATTATAGAGACCCATTTGCCAGGCATTTAAATGAAGTAGGCATTTATAAGAGGTGGGCGTATATAACCAAAAATAATCCTTACCACCATGTTTCAATAGACACAATGTGTAGTTTAAAACTGACATCAAAACTTCTATGAGTTTCCTTAGCCTTCTTAGCTGCAGCTGCCATTGTAGAATGTAGACAATAAAAGGTACATATACCACGCGGATGGGGCAGGTGGGTGTGGTATAAGCTTTTAATCAAGAATGGGTGTCTAAACAAGCATGGGCGTTTACTGTCAAAGTTATATGCTGTCTCTAGGCATTTATACAGGCATGGGCGTTTATAGGGAGTAGGCGTTTCCACGAGGAAATACGGTAATAATAATAATAATAACAACAACAACGATTCAATTACCTGGTGCACTTCTCTTTTTCACTGTAATATCTTTCTGACCCAATCCTTGTGTACGAGTAACTGATAATGATAACAATGATAATAATAACAATAACAACAAGAACTTAATTACCTGGTTCACTCTCTTGTGTACAGTACCGTACTATCTCTCTGACCCTCTCTTTGTGTATGAGTAAATAGTAATAATAATAATCATAATAATAATAACAACAACAATAATTTAATTACCAGGTGCACTTCTCTTTCGTACTGTAAAATCTTTCTGACTCTCTCCGAAGAACTAATAATGACAATAATAATAATAACAACAAGAACGAAAACAATTAAATTACCTAGTGCACTTCTCTTTTGTACTGTACTATATTTCTGACCCTCTCCTTGCGTACGAATAACTAATAATAACAGTAATAATAATAATAACAAAAACAATTTAATTACGTGGTGCACTTCTCTTTTGTACTGTACTTTCTTTCTGACCCTCTCTTTGCACACAAGTAACTAATAATGATTATAATATTAATAATAACAACAAAAACAATTTAGTTACCTGGTACACTTCTCTTCTGTACTGTATCTTTCTGACCCTCTCCTTGTGTACGAGTAACTAATATTGATAACAATGAACATAATAACAACAAGAACAACAACTTAATTACCTGGTGCACTCCTCTTTTGTACTGTACTATCTTCCTGACCCTCTCTTTGTGTACGAGTAACTAATAACAACAATAATAATAAAGTAATAATAATAATAATAATAATAATAATAACAACAATAATTTAATTACTAGGTGCACTTCTCTTTCGTACTGTACAATCTTTCTGACTCTCTCTTTGTGTATGAATAACTAATAATAATATTAATAATAATAATAATAATAATAATAGGCAGTGGCTCCTGCGCCGTAAACGGTTTCCTTTCACAACAGCTTACAGAGCCAGTAGGGGGCCTGGCCCCGTATAGGGGCTTCGCCCCTATATAGGACCAATCAGTATAATTATGACAACATGGTGAATTTTGGCAGTGAGATTGTGGTGGCACAGCGGGCAAGCTACAGGGAGCTGAATGCTACACTTGGACGTAAGGCGGTGATGGTTCAAATCTCATTTATCTACATTTTTATTGTTATTACTTACATAAAATTTCATTTTTACCTTTTCCACTAGGTTAGGAGTCCCCTAGTTAGCATGTCCCCTAGTTATGTTTGGAGTCCCCTAGTTAGCTATTGTTTTTAGGGTTTAGGGGTTAGAGTGGCGGTTTTTTTAGAGCGTCACTAGTCACTTTAGGAGTCCCCTAGTTATGTCCCCAAGGTCGGGTATACGGTTTAGTTCATTCTATTTTAGAGTGTCCTCTAGTTCAGGAATCCACGATAAAAACTATGTTCCAATTTGCATCTATGCGCATGCGCACAAGGTTATTTTACAGAGAAGAATGGGATGCTGGCTCATTAAGCACTTCGCAACAGAAACGGTTTACGGTTCTGTAGTCACTGCCATAATAATAATAATAATAATAATAATAGTAATAACAACAACAACAATTGAATTACCTGGTGCAATTCTCTGTTGTACTCTATCTTTCTCATTCTCTCCTTGTGTATGAGTAACTAATAATGATAATAACAATAATAATAATAATAATAGCAAAAACAACAGTTTAATTACCTGGTGCACTTCTTTTACGTATTGTATAATGTTTCTGACTCTCTCTTTGTGTACGAGTAACTAATAATAAAAATAATATTAATAGCAACAACAACAACTTAATTACCTGGTGCACTCCTCTTTTGTACTGTAGTATCTTTCCTCTTAAAGACAAGGAAGAAAGACAGAAAGACAAGGAAGAAAGTATTCTTAAAGACAAGAAAAAAACTTCTCATTCTCATCTTCTTGCTAAAATAACGGTAAGCCAATAAATAAATGTAATGTTACAATAGCAGTAAAATCAATCTTAAGTGAGTTTCAATAAGTCGTTCCAAATATGCTTAAACATCATACCTGAATAATGGTCCGGGGGACAATCGTAGTCTCATCCTTAACAACAGTGTTGTCAAATACATTTCAGCATAATCTAAAATTATATCTCTTATACATAATTTTATAAAGCCAGTTAAAGTACCTTATTATCGAAATTAGAAGAAACCACAATTTATTATGCAGCAGAAACAGGTAGCATCTGGAGGTGTATTGTATTTGTAGACTACTTGAATTGTAGCTAGTAATGAACTGTGATAACTACTAAATATATTTTCAGTTTATGTATGACTAATATTACTTACTATGGTAAAATTAATTGTGGTGACTCTAATGTGGTCAAGTGACAAAATTAATAATTAATGAGTGCTGTCAGAAAATGGCGGCCTTCCAACGTCCTCGATACGGTGCTCGAGTTAGCCTTTAGAATGTAGAGCGACCTTCAAGAGCACTCTACCCAGCAGCTATGGTAGCAGAAACGGTAAAAAGAAGACCAATGAAGCTAGGAGAGTATTTCACGCCTTGCATCTGTTTAGGATACTTTAATTGAATTCCTTGTTTCACAATGCATCATCTCTGACAGGAGAATATCTATGACAAAATACACACCCAAAGTACCTGCCTATCACCAGCTTCACATTAATTAACCAGCCAGTTATCCGGAGATAGGTCAAGTATTACCTGGGGCTATTGTGCATGTGGAGGCTTGTTAATCAATAGAAAAATTAGACAGGGCAAATTGTCATAATGGATATTAAAGCATGCAAATATGTCTGCTGCAACCAGCTCCTGATATGGTGACACTCACACAGCTCTGAGCTCACAAGCTCCTTTAATTGTCTTTGCATTTTGCAGTTCAGTTATTGGTAAGTAGATATTACCCTTCAGTTGCATAGTGTCTGCCATTGTATAATGATTCAACTGAGTTTAATAAAACTTCGTGACATTAGGATTCGTAACTCGGTTACTGTATAAATACTGCATCGTACCATTGGCACATTCATTCTGTGGTAGCGCAAATTATAGACTAGTAATGTACATGTAAATGATTGTTTAATTGTATTCGTGAATTAATTACATTAATTTTTGAATCGTCAAACCCATTGTGGCATGATTTACCATGCTTAATATAGAGTGGGGTCTATCTACATGCGGAAACCCTAATGACTTTTTATGAGGTCCCTGCTAAACATTTTATTGTTTTGACATGAGTACAGTATTAGTGATATTGCTTAGGTCTGATACAGTGTAACTGTACCTGTAGTAGTAAGGCTTTGCCTATAATCTTGTACCTGTATAAAGGAATTTATAGCTGAGAAAAATATTTAGGCCTTGCCAATTAAAGTTCATTGAGAAGCAAAACTTAAGTTTGTTTTAACAATGTTGTAATACACACATGTAGTTTGAGTTTGTGTTGCATGTCAATCAGCAGTGCATAGGAATGTTATTATAATTGTACTCCCAAAGTGCCTTGTCTATGGTTTCGAAATTTCAATTTCAATGCAAAATTTCTACGCAACATAAATACATGAATGTGTATCGGAAAACATAGTAATATTGATAAAATTCCCTATTTGTATTTTTGATACAATTTGGTAAATGTTGTTGTACATGTATGTATGTAATAGAGAAAATTGAAAGTACTGGACTCAATTTTTTCTTAGTACCAAAATACTACAAAATGCTTCACTCAATTTTTGAAATTGATAAAAAATCTAAATTTTATCTGAATTGGCTAAAATTTTCTATGCATTATAAGTACATGTATATGCATCAGAAAACGTGATAAAATTAATGAATTCTCTTCTTGTTATTATTATTATTGATTAAATTTAATCAGTGTCCCTGTATTAGTAATGCAATAGTGTTACTATGTTGGATTCACTCCCTAACAAAATGGCTGCCACAAATTAGGCAACCTTGCTATATACAGTACAGGGTGTTTGGCTCAATTTTTAAAGTAACTTGACGATCCATTAATTGATAAGAAGCTGTATCAGCACTATGCCAAATCTTGTCAGGAACCCTGACTCTAAGCATTTGCAATGCTACATAGGTTTATAAGAGACAGTTTTTGTCTTTCTTAAGGTACAATGGGCTGAACCCAAAATTTAGATTTCGGGACACAAATTGTTTTTTTATACATTTTCTACAATGTCTAATTTTTTCAATTTTTTTCCCAACAGTGACTTGCAATGAACTTACTAAACTTTTTAATATGGATGAAAACTGAGTAAAGAATTCTTAAACATGATGAGACCAGTATTTGAGTGAAACTTTTGCCTGGAAAATGGCAAAAATACATGTAATCAATAATAATTACATTGCTAAAGCTGAAATAAAATATTGTACAGTTTTTTATTCATCATATACAGTAGTAATAATAACAATACAATTGTCGTTTATGTAGGTGTGGTCCTCTTTGTCATTACTGGTCACTAACGTTTGAAGGAAAGCTTTCCTTCTTTAACAATATAGCTAGACGAGTGAAGTGTTTTAAGAATATACCAAAAACATCAACTTTCCATCATCAGAGGCTAATGTGCCATTACTTAAATAGTGATAGTGCATTTATTGAGAACGATGTGGAAACTGGTCCATGATTGTCAGAAGTTTCATTTGACTCTTCCATACTCATCTAATTTTCTTTTTAATCCTGCAAAACTCATTACAGGTACTTGTATGTACAGTATGTATATAACAATTTTTTTCGCTCATCTATCATAGGCTGTCTAGGATAAAACTATCGAACCGAGTGTTTCAGAAAAATTTAGTTGTAGATAGTACTGAACCAATTACAAAATTTGGTGTTATTGAAGATACATTAGTTATCAACACAGATACTTATTACATAGTATATCAGCTACTAGAAACTGAATATTTTTCTCACCATTACCATTCTTATACAGTATCTTTTCCACTTTCACCAAACTATGTTGTTAGGAGTCTTGTGACACCGTTGAAATATCCAATACTAAGATTTGTAAAGCACAATCATTTTTCCTTTTCTATGAACTTTAACATACACTACATTGTTAATGTTTAGTGTGAATTTTACACTAACCAGGTATAGATGGTGTGCTAATAACATTACAACGGACAACATTAATCTTTGGTGTATCATGCACACTAATTATTATGGTGTATAACAGCTATTGTGTGCGGAACAAACGAAATTTTTTATAGTGTATTTTAGCTGTAACCGTCAACTTTGTATGTCTGAGTTAGGTTTATCTTCATATTTTTATTGTAACTTATTCTTAGTCGTTTAATTTATTTTGTCTGAGTTACAATTTGTATTGCTCAATTTTTTGTTTTATAAATGTGTCACTCTCTTTCTCTCTTGTTTTATTTTCTCTTTAACTTACTGCTATTTGAAGTTTAGGCCAAAGGGTTTAACAAAGTTAACTAGAAGGCTGGGTCAGTGGTAGTTATATTACTTATAAGTAATAGCCAGTAGCTTGTAGTTGCAGTCAGTCTGATAGCAAGCAGGATTGTTGCAGCAAGCAGGATCGTTGCAGCAAGCAGTAGCATCAGTGCAAAGCATCTCTAATTTCTCTAGTTTCTTCTCCTGCTATCAACCCTATGTTATTCTTTCTTTGCTGTCCTGGTGTCCAGCTGCATCATCATAATGTCAACGCCTAACTCCTTTGTGGGATCTACAGGTACCGCCAGCGTCAGTCTCGCTGGGATCCCAGCTCCAGCTTCGAGCAGTACAGTCACTACCCCAGTACTGCTAGGGATGTCAGGCGCAGCCCCAAAGACGAGCTCAGTGACTGCTCCAGTGCTAGTGATGTCTGGCGCGACCCCAATGATGAGTTCCACTACATCCAGATCAGGAGCATAGGCGGTTGCAGGCCTGGGCGTTAGGGGGCAATGCCCAGGTTGACTTTTTGACCAATAATTATATTCATGATTCTAGTGTGGGCATCCAGTGTCAACTGTGGTAGTTCAATAGGCTTCTTGTTGTTTTATGCTAAGAAACCATCTCAATGAAGTTATAGATCAGTATTTTCCATTTTCCTTGCAAAATTGTATGGAACCACACCCACTAATTATTGATGCCCAGGTCAAACAAAATTTCTGCAACCACCCATGATCAGGAGCGCCTCTTCCCCGAGTTACTAGTGTTATAGCCGGCTCCTCCACCACCACAGCTATCTCGGCAGCCGGACCGTTGTCCTCTGGATTTGCCCAGGCCGCTTATCGGACGAAGAGCTACGTGGCATCACAGACGCCGGTTAGCAGCTATAAGGTCTTCCACAGAGGTTCCAACCCCAGGTATGTAATAGTTCATTGCACTCATGGGCCTGGTACAGTACAACACACGGGACCAGGCATGTAATGCTCTCACTGATGTTATCATGTAGTCCTTGGTCGAGTTTCCCCGGGGTTCTAGTCCATTATGTATATGGTCGCATTGGATTCAATAGTGCAAAGGGAAAACGATGCTCAGCTGCAGAGCAGGTTCCACTGTCGGGGATAGTATAGCATTGGCCACGGGTGATCTTCCCTGTGGCGTTCAGCTTTCTGGACCCGATTAGTTCAGTGGTGTGATGCTAGTAGGTGACTTTGAAGGTAGTCACATTAATACTTACATAGTTAGTGACTCTTCGGTTAGCCACTATGCTCAATTAATTGAGTTGTTAACCACTAGGTGGGAAGGTGGTCAAGTAATTGAGAGACCCCTCCTCAGGTTGTCAATGGTTGTGGTTAGCATGGGTAATCTAACTTTAGTGCTGCTTGAGCAGTTGCTCAGCATTAGTCTGCATTATGCATATGGCCTGTCCATTCTGAGCCTTCATGCAGTTATGATTAAGGCCGGCCTAATCAGCAAGGGGTATTCTTCCCCGTTTTGGGGTGTGTGGTCAGGTCGTTGATATATCTCATATGTGTAGGTGTGGTGGGTCTTCCAGTTGACCTAGACTTGGCTCCCTTGGGCAGAGAAGTCCCATTCCCGGGGGTGTCTGCTTTTGCAGCCATGAGAGACACTACAGCAGGCTTGGTGGCATTATCAGCAACCAGCCTTGATGCGGAAGGTCTCCCTCCTATTCCAACAAAGCTGGTGGAAAAAATTCGGAGGGGGGAATTTGTGGATCTAGCTCTACTGCTGCAGGATGCTTCCTCTAAATCTGAGGAGCTACTACTGCAACAGCACGGTTCACCAGTGATGATCTTCCAATCTGTAGAGCAGGCCCAAAAGAAAAAGAAACAAATAGTGGATATTGTTTCATGGGCAAGGGCCTTCTCCATCTACGCTGCTGTTCTGGCAGCAGCTGAGGAGACCACAAAAGAACAGGTCGTGAGCCTCCTAGCTCATATGCACTTAATGACACAGTTGGCCACCGATTTGGGAGGAGGGCAATGGCTATCTTACGATGTAGAATTTCGGGCATGGGTAGAAGCAAAGGGGATACGTAAATGGGGAGAACTTAACATCATCATCTATGGGCGGTGCCTCCCTGGAACGGTTCCTTGGAACCTCTCCCTTCCCTCAGTTCCTCACAGCCATTCTGCTCCTCCCCAAAAGCCCAACACATCTAATAAGAGGCCAAAGTCCCAGAAGGTCTGCTTCCTGTGGAACTTTTCACCGTTGTGTGACAGATCTGAGGGTTGCCGATTTGCTCACGCTTGTTATTATTGCGGTAAAGCATCCCATAAGGGTCAAGAGTGCGGAGGAAGCAATCGCAGCAAGAGGGAGAGAACTCCACCTTCCATGTAGCTCCCAGTGAAGCTTATTATTTAGCTCTCACATTGAGCCAACTTTCTCACTTATTTGGCAAACTTAATTTAGTGCAGACCTGGTAGTGATTTGCAGGGGTCTGGGAAACAATTTATGATTTCTATCTTTTTGTCAAAAATAATATTGATAATTGAAAAAAAATCAATTTGAGTTAACAATTGGTGATTATAACTAGAAATTAATGTCAGTTAATAATAATAAAGGGAATGGGTCTCATGGTATGTCATGGTAGCTTACTAGCATAATATAATAACAGAGGTCAGCCTGTCCCCCTGAAGGGTAGTGGGCCCAGGACTTACGGGGTAATTTCAACTTAGTCCTGGATGGGAAGTTACATGCTTTTTTCTCCTCCCACATTCTTGCCTCCAGGTTTAGCTCTAGCTGCGCATACATGTAGTCAAGTGGTTCAGGGCCACTACATTCACTGAGGATCTGCTGGCTCTGGAAGCCTGTAAGCCTCTGCTTGAGAAGCACAAGGACGGAGGTGTGGTCCCCGTTGTCTCTGGAGCAGTGGTCAGAGGCCCTCTCTAACCACCCAGACAAGCAGTTTGCGGCCGACATACTAACTGGTCTAAGAGATTGGTTCAGGATTGGCTTCAATTGTCAGTCTTCACTTCAGTCCGCCTTGTCGAATATGGCGTCCTCCAATTCTGAAATTATTTCAGAATATCTGGCAAGAGAGCTCTCTCTGGGGCAGATGTTCACCCAGGACAATCACAACGGCGTACATATCAGTCCTCTCGGTATTATTCCATAAAACAATAAGCCAGGGAAGTACAGACTCATTGTGGACCTGTCTTCCCCGCCTGGAGTAAGTGTCAATGACGGAATTGCACCTGCACTCTCCTCGGTCTGCTATCCAACAGTGGATAATTTAGCCTCTTTAGTAGTCAGCAAGGGTAAAGGAGCATACCTTGTCAAGGCTGACATCAGGGAGGCGTATCGTAACATCCCAATTCACCCAGACGACTACTACCTCCTGGGGGTCAAGTGTGATGGAGTGGTTGTCATAAATAAGTTCCTCCCGTTTGCGCTACGCTCCGCCCCCAAGATATTTTCAGCAGTAGGAGATGCAGCACAATGGATACTACTTTATAGCAGAATAAAACTCTGCCTCCATTATCTAGATGATTTCATCATGGTGGAGGGAGATCTGGTAGCAGCAAAGGAAGCAAAGAGGTTGCTGTCCTCTACGTTTGAGAAACTGGGTCTTCCGTTAGAGCCCAGTAAACTGGAGGGTCCCTCAACCTGCCTCACATTTTTAGGAATTGAGGTAGATACCCTCAAGCTACAGCTGCCTCTTCCCACTGACAAACTGACCTGTCCGATGGACCTGCTGGAGGAGACCCATGGTAGAAATCACATGCTAAAATAGGAGCTTGAGAGTCTGACAGGGCTGCTACAGTATGCAGCAAAGGTAGTCGGACCAGGAAGGGACTTCATTCAGAGGCTGTATGCCCTTAAGAAGGTTGGGTCAGCCCCAGATCACAAGATTCGCTTGAGCAAACCAGCTAGAGCGGATGTAATATGGTGGCGGATGTTTGTCTCCCATTGGAATGGAATCTCTATGCTTTCCAATCCAACAAACTCGCCAGAGGATGTGAAAGTCTTCTCCGATGCGTCTGGCTCGTGGGGAGGTGGAGCCTCTGTTTTCCCAAATGGTTTGCATTTAAATGGCCGCCTGCCCTGGAGTCCACCTCCATTCAGGTAAAGGAACTGATTCCAGTTGTCATGGCAGCGGCCTTGTTTGGGAGGAGCTGGAAAGGGAAACTTGTGGTGTTCTCAGTCGACAATGAGGCGGTGGTTTACATCCTAAATAAAACTCACAGCAGAGAGAGTCACTTGATGCATCTCATCAGACTGCTCGTCTTTTATGCAGCTCATTTTGACTT